GCATGCAGGAGATTGTATGTGGATGCGCGGTGCGTTTTTTAATATTTCTGGCAGTGAGCAAAAAACATGAGTGCTATGCGATCAAAACATGATCGGTACTGACGATTGATTCCATGTCCATTGGCAGGGTAAACCGGAGAGGGAGAATACAAGATCAACTAGGTGCGGCTGTGCTGCCAGGATTAGGCTACTGAGGTCGGATGACAATGGATGGTATATTTCAGAACACATGCCTCGCTCGGATCGCCTCGTACCCAGCCGCCGCCTCCAACGTAGCCAACCGCCGCCTCCCCAAAACTAGGGTTCTTTGCCTCCCACCGGCGCCGGTGCCGGTCCGTCCCGTCTCCGGTGGCCTTAGGGCCATGGAGGCGGAGTGGATCTCGGCCCATGCCGGTGGGAGGGTTCCGCTTTCATATTTTTTTTCGAGCTTTGTTAGGGTTTATGTCCTGTTCAGGAAGGCGAGACGGCGGCGGCTCCCTGAAGATGGAATAAAGGTCTCCCCGTCTAGTCCCCGTTCCGGTGATGTGTGTAGCATCATCGGTGGGCGTGTGGAGATGTGTCTCCGGCGGATCTGTCTTTGGTGGATTTGCTCGGATCTGTTCGTCGTTCGTCTTCGTTCGTGTATCTTCAGGTTGGATCCTTTTGATCTACACTCTTCATCTGCGGCGGTTGCTGTTCTGGTGCGTTGGTTCCATGGGGCCTTAGCACGATGACTTCCCGACTGTCTACTACAACAATGTTTGCCCGGCTCTGTCGAGGGAGGGGCGATGACAGCGGCGCGCCTTCGGCTCGCTTCAGTGCTTGTAGTCGTCGCTAGGTGGTCTACGGTTCTGGATGTAATTTTTATTATTTCTAGTGTCCATTGTACTACCATGATTGAAGATGAATAGATTGAAAGTTTTTCCGCAAAAAAAAACTAGGTGCGGCTGTGCTGCCAGGATTAGGCTACTGAGGTCGGATGACAATGGATGGTATATTTCAGAACACATGCCTCTTCACAACCACTCTCTCTCAAGTACTTGCGGCGAGAAAATGCACTGGCCTTCACACAGGCTCATTGATCGCTACACTAAAGATCTTGTTAGGCAGCTGAGAGAAAACAATGTTAGCCTTGGAAAAGTTTTTAGCATAGTTGGTAGTTTTTTTGGATCAGTTGACAATGTGCCATTTACAAAAAGGTCATTGAAGACGCTGTGCTGCAAGCTGAACAAAGAACAGTCTGATTCAGATGCCCGGAAGACAATGGACATACTTGCAGAGATGAAGGCAAACGATCCAGAATTCAATTATACTGTCCAAGTTGATGATGAGAGCACAACAAAAACACTTATGTGGGTTAACGGGCGTAGTGTAGAACAGTACAGGTGTTTCGGAGATGTTGTGACATTTGATACAACATACATGCACTAATTGCGTGAGATGACTAGTCCCCCAATTGATGTGTGATGGGCCCTCACGCAACTTTTTGCACGTCGAGACGTGACGACAACAGTGAGATGGCAGATGTTCCATCCGGCCCATCGCGAACCTGGGCATCCACGGACCTAACCAACAAACTACACGGTCTAGCTGCTAAAAACAAATTACGTGTTTAATTACCGAGGCACAGAAACATGGTGGGAAACCATGTCCAAATCGGTGCCATAATTGTGATTAATAATGATAGTTCGTGGGGTATTGTCATTTTCCAACGGCGAACTCCTTTGATTTACTACAACATAGAGTCGTTGACAATCCACAGCCGGTGCTCTTTGGTTAAATTTGGTCCATCTCGCGCTAATATGCTGTTAATGAAGGGATTTGGTCCATCTCACGCTAATATGCTGTTAATGAAGGATTATCTATACAAAACTTAAGCATGACAGTGACGGGGGGTCACGTGCAAGGGCGAAATTCAAGTCCACATGGGCGACTCTCTTTTTGCTGCATGCGCATGCTCGAGTGTACCTGGTACATCAACGGAAAGCTAGATTCTGTCGCTACACCACCCTCACTGACAACCAGAATACGTGGGCGGGGATGGTCTACGGGGGGGACAGTCCCGCAAATACCGTGATGAAGCTGGCCAATGTGTAAAACAGACGGACTGGATAAAGTCCTCATAGTGCTTGTCCACCGTTCGGCATTTTCGGTGACTCAGGCTCTTATTTGTGACCCTAGCAGTTAGCCAGACAAGGAATGTAATAAGCATAAATAAATGAGTCCTGAGGAACTTGGATCATGCAAATGTGGCACCTTTGTGCAGCAGACCTTTTTATATTACCCAGGTAGTCTAAATGTGCAAAGAGCTTCGATGTGCAAAAGCCTCCTGAAAGTGGCTGCTTAAACTGTAGCCATGTTACTACATCGTGCAAATGCTGATCACAACTGTTTAAATCCCAGTGCTACATTCTAAAATAGGCGGGGACAGCAGCCACACGAGCGATGTCGGTTACACAACACTGACCGAATTCTAAACCTAGACACGGCTAGAGCACATGAACAATGTTGGACACAATTCACGAGCACCAATAATCGAGTCGTCAACCCTAGATTAGTTATGAGTCACGTCTCATAGGCAAGGCGATGCAATCTGCGCGAAGTCCACGCTGCCGGAATCACACAAAAAGACATGGAGCTCCGAGGATGGGAATGTTAGTCTCTGGCTACACGGCTCCGTCGAATCTGTGCAAAAGAGACAAAATATCAATATCCAGACGATAGAAAAGATTTGAGCTCATATCACACAGATTCGAGAGCAAGCAAAATGGAACAGATTGCGGAGGCTACATATAGTACATGGTGTTAAAATGCACAAGCATAATAGCATCTGTCCCGCAGGTAACAGTATTGATCTGAACTGAATTCGAGATATGTAACTACTAACATTTCCTTTTTTGCGTTTCCCAGCGTAAAGTTGGAATACACGGCCGGGCAGAGGTATGTATATACATGACAGGCTTCTAACTTAGGTCAATCTAAAAAATAAAACTCATGTCACCTAAGGAAGAAAAACACGATCATGGGTCTTGTTAGCCACAATCAACAAACTGTGTCTGTATGCCCTCTATGATACTACAGAGACTAATGCTTATATTCGGCATGCATTAGCAGACTCACAAAGAGGCAGGTGAAATGTTCGAACTATCACGGTCCATCTAGGAGCATACAACTATCTGATGAGGCTGATTCGAATCAAACAGCTTGTGAACGCAGTCTGTTCTAGCTATAAAAAGCAGTGAGTGACTCAGGCTCTTATTTGTGACCGTAGCAGTTATGGAGATTCGTTTCAAAATAATAATGGAGATAAAATTATAGCTGTGAAGATGACTAAAAGTCTAAAAGAAAAAAGAACTAGGGCCGAGAAGGGGACCACACTCATATAAGAATTTGCAGCACAGATTGTACATAAGAGTTTACAAGCAAAATGGAACGAATTATCAGGGCCCACATACATAGTATACAGAATTACAGGCTGAACCACAGAAGAAAAATAGCATCTGTCCAAAATAGCACCTGTCCCAGTCATAATATTGATCTCAACTGAATATTAAACATGTTACTGCAAACATAAATAAGTTGAGTCCCGGAAAAATAGGTGTTGGAATTGATCTCAGGCAGTTATTGACTGAGAGAAAAGGGGGAGTCTTTTCCCACGATGGTGTTCTGATCGGGCACACCCAGAACCAACGTTTGGTTTCGGTCCCTGGCCCATCAGCCCCTCTCATATATAAAGAAGAGTCACGTACCTCTTGAGGAGAGTACACACATAAGTACGAGTTAAACCTCTAAGTCCAACTACTGATCCTAAAAAAAGGGAGCTGATGACCAGAAGACCGTCTACCACCGCCAGCCGCCGCAAGGTCTGTGCTGGCGGCGTTCCTGCTACCATCTGCATCATTCAGCTGCTGCCTTTCTCTTCCCCGACAATCTCCTGTTGCTGGAGATCACAAGGTGCAGCCATGGTCTACACAGGGGGCTGCATCGGGCAGCCGCCATGGGATTTCTCCAAGCACCTGTAAGTCCTCACGCTTCCGCATAATGCTGTTGATCTAGTCAGAGATTAGGCCCTTACGTTGACGACCCTAAGGCTATTTTTTCCTGACAATAGGATCATACAAAAGTGGTACCTTTGTGTTGCAGGACTTCCTATACTACCTAAGTAGTCTAACAAACTTCTAACTTATGTCGGTTTGATTAAAAAACTTAGAAGTTATATCACCAAAGGAAAACAGATCAGGGGTCTTGGCAGTCACAATCGACAAACTGGGTGTGCCCTCTACCATCATACAGAGATTAATGCTTACATTTGGCATGTACTGGAGACTCGGAAAGAGGCAGGTGAAATGTTCAAACTATCTTAAAAAGGAAAGCAAAACTGGGTGCCCCACCTATAACTGACCTTATGAGGCTGATTCAAATGAACCAGCTTGTGAGCACAAGCTGTTCATGTTATACAGAGGAGTGGGTCAGGTGTCAGGCTCTTATTTGTGACCGTAGCAATTATGCAGATTTATTTCAAAACCACATTGAGATGTGAAGATGACTAAAAGACTCGCTCTTCTGCATCTTTATATTTATAAAAGAAAAGACATATAAGATAAGCCGTGCTTGCATGAAACGTATATTCATGAGGTGAGCGAAGTAAATGGAAGGTAAACTGGATCGATACCAGTATTCCTTCTACACCCTGAACAAAAAGCATTCATAGTCGTTATATAGCATTTCCATGATTTCATTAGGCCTAAAATGACAATGGATGCATGACCTATGTGAAAGATCTTATCTCTTATCATATTCCCTCCAAACAGCGGTTGGGACAAACAAAACAAGAAACCAGAATCATCTTCCCGAGCTTGATTAGCTTACCCACAAGCACAAGGAAAACAACCAGTGCTAAATCGTGTAAAAAAGAATGACCAACCAAAATATTAAACTATTAAGCATTACTGCATTAGACAAGCTGCATGCGAACTATGAAGAGAAGGACATAACTAGGATGCAATAGGAAATTTACCACTTCATATTTTTGGTGAAGACAATGATGGTGGGAAGTTGGTATATATCCACGTCTTGGAAAAGGCAAACCCGGAAGATTTAGTACAAACCCTCGCAAGCTGCAATGTCTTGACATCAACTGAGATATATTCCAAATCTTCGTGTGCAGTTGAGTTTACGAACCGCATGGGTCCAAACTTTCCTAGGAGCAAGTACCTCCCGGTTGCAGCTTTGATATCAGGCCAGCAGCCTGAACATATTGGGATTGTCTTCTCCAGCTGCCACTGGCTAGAACTCTCACATTTGTTTCCCTTGATGTAATAACAGAGATCAAACTTTCCGGCTTCAACATGGATACCGAACAAGCCAAGCCTGGCTTCCCCTGCCTCCACAATGGCCAGACCTAGCGGACACAATTCTTTTGGTGGGAGGTCACAACTAGAGAACTCCATTCTCCGGGTGTCAAACACGAGCAAATCTTTCTTCCCCATCATGGTGGACTCCCAGTAGAAGCAGCCATAGGCGTAATAGCGCCCATAAAAGTCACGGTCGATCGGTGACACCATGGTCGACTTGCCCTTTCCAAGGAGCAACTCATTCCACTCCTTGGATGCAACAGCTTGCCACTGTCTAGTGGTCGAGGAGTAGACGAACACTGCCAGCCTAGTTGTGAAATGTAACATCCACATCACACCGAATGCCGTCTCTGCCTCCTCATCAAGGGGAACAAGGAAAGCCTCGCACCAGGGTGTGTGCGCCGTGGCCGGGTGGTGCATCATCGAAGCGGCCAGGTCATCAGGTACTGGGGGAAGCAGGACGTACTTCCGGTGCAAGGGGTCGCACACCGCGGCCTCCATCGAGACCTGGGGCTGCTTGGCGGCGCCAGGGCGGAGGAGGAGGATGCGTCTGTCGGTGTCAAAACCGGAGGATCTCGGGTAGGGGGTCCCGAACTGTGCGTCTAGGCGGATGGTAACAGGAGACAAGGGACACGATGTTTTACCCAGGTTCGGGCCCTCTTGATGGAGGTAAAACCCTACGTCCTGCTTGATTAATATTGATGATGTGTGTTACAAGAGTGGATCTACCATGAGATCAAGGAGGCTAAACCCTAGAAGCTAGCCTATGGTATGATTGTTGCTCGTCCTAAGGACTAAAGCCACCCGGTTTATATAGACACCGGAGAGGGCTAGGGTTACACAGAGTCGGTTACAATGGTAGGAGATCTACATATCCGTATCACCAAGCTTGCCTTCCACGCCAAGGAAAGTCCCATCCGGACACGGGACGAAGTCTTCAATCTTCTATCTTCATAGTCTTGGAGTCCGGCCGATGATGATAGTTCGGCTATCCGGACACCCCCTAGTCCGGGACTCCCTCAGTAGCCCCTGAACCAGGCTTCAATGACGACGAGTCCGGCGCGCATGTTGTCTTCGGCATTGCAAGGCGGGTTCTTCCTCCGAATAATCTATGGAAGATTGTGAACGCCAGGATAGTGTCCGGCTCTGCAAAAATAAATTCCACGCACCACCGTAGAGAGAATAACATTACACAAGTTCAATCTGCTGACGTATTTTGTGGCGTGACGTCACACCACTACCAAGCCTTTACTCAAATCGTTTTTACTGTTCCACCTCCGCGCGTTTAGCGGAGCAATTTCCTTGGCACGTCTTGTCGAAGCAGAGATCGTGTTCCCCATATTCCAGGATTCCCATCAATACGAACGTGGGTAACCCAACCGCGCCTGTTGCCACGCCCCCTCCATCGAAGGCGGGTTCCAAACGGTCACGGTGACGGCTCTTGGTATTCTTCCTCTTTATAATGAGACCAAGGCCCGTTCTTTTCCTTCAATCTTCTATCGAATCCGCCCCTCGCCCCGAGTTCCAACACCCAGGGCTCCATATTTGGGTACCTTCGATCTTCGACAATGTCCGGCCTCTACCTACGAGGCCGTTGGATGCCCTCCTCCATCACGGAAGAGGACGTGCTAAAGCTAAGAGACGCCAGGTACCTAACCTACGAGATTTCGCATAGGCTGCCTGCCCGAGGGCAAGTTATTCCTACTCCCGAGCTTGGTGAGAGTGTCGTGTTCGTGTCTCACCTCCGTCGGGGTTTAGGCTTCCCGATGGATCCCTTCGTGAGGGGGCTCATGTTTTACTATGGGCTGGAATTCCATGACTTGGCTCCGGAGTCTATCCTCCACATCTCATCATTCATTGTCGTCTGCGAAGCCTTCCTCCACACTACCCCTCACTTCGGCTTGTGGCTCAAAACCTTCGACGTGGAGCCGAAGATGATTGAGGGGCATCAGGCAGAGTGCGGCGGGGCGGTTATAAGTAAGAGGGCCGATGCTCCATGGCCCGAGGGCTCTTTTCAAGAGGAGCTCGGCTTGTGGCAACAGGAGTGGTTCTATATCACCGCTCCCAGGGGCAGCAGGCAAAGGCTGCCGCCCGTCTTCCGCTCGGGCCCTCCACAGCGGCTGACGTCATGGGTCAACAAGGGGCGTGACTGGGGGCCGTCCAAGGACGTTCCCCTATTGCAGGACCGGATTCGAGGCCTCCAAGAAAGGGAGATCAACCTGGCCGTAGTGGTACAGGTTATGTTGATCCGGCGCCTACTGCCCTGCAAACGTCGCCCCCTCCGCCTGTGGGAATTTAATCCGGAGGGGCCACGAGCTCTTCAACACTTCATGGGTTTGACACCCGCGGAGATGTACGAACTGTTCTTCGGATCGAAAGAGATGCGTCCGGAATTGACCGAGGATGCGGGCCTAAGCTGCAATCGCTCGGATACTCAAGTAAGTAGCCCTGTGTCCGGACACATCGTCCATTTATTTACTGTGGTTTTGCCTTTTAACCAGCTATCCCTTGGACAGGAGTGGATAGCGCAAGCAAAACTGATACGGTGTCCGGCCCCCCTCCCTGAGACCACGCAGGATCCCGTGATAATCAAAGTGCTAGAGGTTGCACCTTCGGTGGAGGGCGAAGACAGGCACAGGGGATCTACCACCTCCGCCACGGAGGCTTTTAGTAAGGGAGGAATCGAGAGTCCCTCCTTCCAGGGGGAGAAGAGGACCGCTTCCGAAGACCCGGAGGCCAAGGCCTCAAAGCGGGGAAAGAAATCTGTACCGAAAGGTCCCGGGCCGGGAAGAGCCCCGGCCGAACTGTCTCCTCGGAGGAATCAGCCCTCTAGCAAGCTGTAAGTAAAAGGGGGAATTTTGTAATAGTGGACATCCCTGTTTAATTTCTAAGGGTAACCGAAGTTTTCACCCTGTAGTTCGGATCTCAGCCCAGCTCATCTTCGGGAGACCTTCGTCCGGAGATGATGGAGAGCGAAACGCCTCCATCTGCCGCCCCATCACGCGGGGCGGACGACCCTGAGGTGTCTTCGCGGAGGGTCTCCTCGAGTCCGGCGGGGCCAGAGAGTTCGGCGCCCATTGGAGTACGGCCGGTGGAGCTGCAGGATTTGCTTAAGAGGGCGTCCATCTCAGAAGATCACCGCACATTAATGGGTATGGTGATTGAGAGGATCTCGTCCGCCGAAAGCGGGTTGTGTGAGGCCGTCAGAAGTTTGCTGACGGGATTTGAGGTACGCAAAAAATGACATACCTTTTGACAGATTTGCACATGAAGTGCGCCCTGTACAAATAGTAGCCCCTGAGACTTGGTATGCTGTCGAAAGCGGCAGCATGCCGAGGATCATAATCTCAGTTATAGATTGTCGCCTTTCCTATGCAGGTGGCGGAACGTTCGGTGGCCAGCCGAACTGATGGATTTGCCGAGCTGAAGAGGCAACTCGACGTTGCGGATGCGGACATCTCGCTGGTCAATAAACGACTCGATGAGTCACAAGGTATGTGGTTTCTCTGTGGTTGCCTAGTAAGGGAGCTGACGCCCATTCCTTACAGTTTGCATGCCTGATGCAGATAGTGCTGCTCCTGTGGAAGGCCTTCGAGCAGAACTTGCTCGGGCCAAGGAGCAAGCCAGAAAAAGCGAGGCGGCTGCCTCGAAGGCAACGGAAGAGATAGAAGCCGAGAAGGCTGCTCACTGCCGAAGCAGGAAGGAGATGGCCGGAATGGCCATGAAATTAAAAGTTGCTACCGACCGCCTGGAGGTTCTTGAAGGAGAACGCCGAGCAGAGCAAGAGGACCTGAAGAAGGCCGATGCCGAAGCCAAGGATGCCCGTAGTGCGATGCGGGCTATGAAGGAGGAACTGCGTCAGGTCGGAGACATTGTGGCTGGAAAGCCCTTTATGCTGCGTAGGAAGTTCACGGATCCGAAGTATGCTCACCTGGGCCGATTGTACGGTGCGGAGGATCCTTATCTGGACTTGGCAGCGAGTGCGGCGGACGCAGTCGTGCACTTTCGAAGCCAGGAGGATCATGAAATGGAAGAGCTTTTCTGGTCTCAATTCCATAGTCCGGAGCGTCCACTTCCGTTGAGTGATCGGCTGGTTGAGTGGGCTAAGCTGAATAGATTGTCCGGACTAGCCATGACAGATGTGGTCGCTCATCTGTGGCCGAAAAGGCCCAAGCCGAAGAGTTATTTTGGCTTGTTGCAGCAATTCCTTGGGGCGGTGCCGCATATTGGGGCGATGAAGCGGTCGGCATGCATAGAAGGTGCACGGATGGCTCTCGCCCGTGGTAAGACATACTGGGCGGAGATGGATGCCACCGCTGTTGCATCCCGGGGTTCGGACAAAAGCCGATTCCCCACCGAGCACTATTTTGAGGCAGTCCTGCAGGGCGCTCGTATAATAGAGTCGCAGTGCTCGAAAGATGTTATGTTTGAATGACATGTATGATTTCTGAGATCATGTTTATAATGCAATGACTTTTTATACTTGTGTGTTCAAGTATTGAACTATCTCCTGTGCGGCCGTATATGTATGTATAATCTGAAAGATGGCAGTCTTTGGCTTCAGCCCCCACGCACATGGTGCGGGGGTGTTTGCAAAAAGAAAAGCGCTTTTTCACACTTAATCCAACGTCTTGGTCCTTTTAAGGAGGTGATAGCGTAGCAAACTAGGCAACCGGACTATAATGCTTTATCACTTTCACTTAGCCATAGGAGCTCGAATGTGGGGCTACTATATAGCCCCTGGTGGCACCGCTCTTCCCGAACTCGGGGCGCGTATGTGCCTGACCGGGAAGCGGTCCTTCGTCGAAGCGGAGGAATTCTAAACATTCCAATGGTCGATCGAGTGGTTGACCAGTCTCTCGCTATATCATGATAGTCAGTTTTCGGCTTTCTCTACTGAGGTGCTCGCCCGGCCGAACTGGGGCACAATCGCAGTAGTTCTCCTGGTGCCGCGTTAGCCGATGATGCGGAACGTAAGGCAGCAAAACACAGGAGCCGGGCAAACCCAACATTTGACCAAAGACATGATCGGAGGTGATGCATATAAGGCCTAACTCGAGACGCCGAACACTCCCTGAGGTGTTCGGTCTTTATGATACCGGGCAAAACAATGCCCTAAGCCCCTTGTGTCCAGGTACAGGCGGGAACTTGTGACGCGGCCGATGCCAAAACGCCAGCCTCCTCCTCGGCTATGGTGGGGAACCGGGGGATGTGTATCAACAAGAGACAATAAGAAAGGTTTATGCAGGGTCTTAATCTGAAAAGAATCCTTGCAACGGTTCCCTGCTGCACGTCTGTGCCTGTGTCTCCGTTGTGCTGTATCCTGGACGGGTGTAGCACGTGCTTCATCTGAAAAAGAGAAGGACTTAGTTTCCAAGAAATATCATGCAGAAGTTGTATTAAAATAGAATAACATGAGGAAAGTTGAGCTTTATTGGCTCTCATCATTTATACACGCGGCCCCTTATGAAGGGGGTATGCAGCTGGGAAGCCCCTTGTTTAGTTACGCCGTACTCGCCTATCCATGTCCGAGGTCCGAATGACCCGTTTTTAGGGGCTTTGACCTACAAGGTCTGATTGGTGTGTGGCTGTTGAAGCAGTCTCACGTTCTCCGTGGTCAAGGAACACTCGGAGTTACTTTTTAATGAAATTATGCCACGTTGACCGGGCATTCTTAAGCGTAAAAAACGCGTAATGTGGTATTGCATTAGGGCTGGCGATAGCTGCGCGCCCCAATAGTGCTTAAGGGCTACTGTTTGAATGGGGCGATGGAGAGTGAGCTTTTCGCGATGGAGGTTGTCGGATGAACCGAACACAACCTCTGGTGGTACAGACCCTGTATAATTGGCTTAAAGGCCTAGCGTCACTCCTTTGAAGGAAGTGCTGTTACGGCGAATTTTGGGAGGGTCTATCCCCATCCTATGGGCGGTGTCCTGGTATAGCAGGGGCCGCGCTGTCTTATCGTGTTATCACATGAAGTGAGTTCATCTGTTTTGACCTCTGGTGGGAAAGTCTTCTGTTTTCCGGATTGCTGCCTTTGGGTTTCGTCACTTTCGCTTGGTGTGTCGAGCCCCTTGTGTTCGGCATTAAGTCGGCCGGACTGTTTGAAGACCCAACAATCTCTGTGGGTATGGTTTGCAGGCTTCCCGGAGGTACCATGTATTTGACATAGTCTATCCAGAATCTTGTTTAGGTTGGATAGCTCGTCACTGTTGTCCTTGAGGGGCAGTGTCTTGTTGTTCGGCCGAGAGCTTTTCTATCCGGCGTTGACCGCCGTACTATTCGGGCCATTTTCCTTATTCCGGCGCTGATCTTTTCTGCGCCGTGATTTCCCATTTTCATCCCTAACTTCGGATGTACTCGGGTCGCTGGTGCTGCATCTAGCCAGCCAGATGTCCTCCCCTGCGCAAAAGCGGGTCATAAGGCTTGTTAGTGCGACCATTGTTCTTGGTTTTTCCTGGCCGAGGTGTCTGGCAAGCCATTCGTCTCGGACGTTGTGTTTAAAGGCTGCTAAGGCTTCAGCGTCCGGACAGTCGACTATTTGGTTCTTTTTAGTGAGGAACCTGTTCCAGAATTTGCGTGCTGACTCTCCGGGCTGTTGAGTTATGTGACTTAAATCGTCTGCATCCGGAGGGCGGACATAGGTCCCCTGAAAATTTTCTCGAAACACATCCTCAAGCTCTTCCCAACTTCCAATGGTATTTTCTGGGAGGCTTTTAAGCCAATGCCGAGCTGGCCCTTTGAGCTTGAGGGGTGGGTATTTTATGGCATGGAGATCGTCTCCTCTGGCCATATGTATGTGTAGGATGTAATCCTCAATCCAGACTCCGGGGTCTGTTGTTCCGTCATATGCTTCTATGTTTACGGGTTTGAATCCCGCTGGAAATCCATGATCCAGTACCTCGTCGGTGAAACATAGTGGGTGTGCGGCGCCCCTGTATTTGGGTGTGCCGTTGTCTTTGAATGCTCGGCGGGTTATGGTGCTTCCTGGAGTCTTATTTTTTGGCCCATAAATAGATCTGACTGGGTCGTCCTTTTTCCGAGGATCTTTATGCTGATCGTGTGCCGGCTTGTGTGCGGCGCCCCTTGTTGCTCTTGGCCTGTCATCTGGTCGTCTATCCGGCCAGGCGGCTTCTTTCTTTTTTGACTGCTGGGGATCTAAGGCCTCCTCGTCAAATTCGGGCAACAGCTTGCGCTTCGGGTAGCTCTTTGTCTGGTGACTAGCGCCATGTTTATCTGCGCTGTTGAGTACTTTGCTCCATCTCATTCTGAGTGCGTCCTCCGCTGTTTTGAGCTTCCGCTTTTGCTTCTTCAAACTTCTTGCAGTGGTGACGAGCCTTTTATGAAGATTCATATGTTCTGGTGATGTGAGATCATCTTCGCCGGGGATGGGTTGCTTGTCCAGTTCATGTCCGGCTGGCTGCTTGTTGATATGTGCGTCGTCCACTGCCTCGCCCTGCTCTAGGGCCGGGTCCGTATGGGTGCCGTTTTTATCGATGCCGGTCTTCGGGCGGCGCCTGCGTCGCCACTTTGGTTGTTTGTTGGGGGAGTTGTCCTTCGCCACGTCCCATTTTTCCTCATTATCGCTTCCTTTTGGTGTATCCACCATGTATACGTCATGAGTTGGGGTGGCTTTCCCGTGCCCGGTAGGTGCTGGTTCTTGGTCGTCTCCGGCACCGTCGTCCATACCGTCGATGTCTTCGGAGTCATAGTTTAGCATGTCGGTTAGATCGTCGACAGCGGCTACCAAGTGGGTGGTGGGTGGGCTTTGAATTTCTTCGTCGTCCGCATCCCAACCGTCCTGACCGCAGTCCGGCCAGGGCTCTCCTGATAATGAGAGATACTTTAGCAAACTCAAGATGTCGCCAAAAGGTGAGAGTTGAAAGATGTCTGCTGCGGTGAACTCCATGATCGGCGCCCAATCGGATTCGATCGGAGGGGGCGCGAGAGGTTCGAAGTCCAGCAAGGAGTCCGGCACCTCGGAGTCACGAGCTTTATGAGGGACAAGGTCAGTGTTCGGCTCTATCACCGTAGAGGTTGCAGCCCCCGAGGCCGTGTCTAGCCATCCGTCCTCGATCTGCGCAGCCGGCTCCGAATTGAAGATCGGAGCGGGTTCGAGTGCGGCCTCCAGGGTACTGTCCGGCTGCAGAGCTAAATCATGCTCGCCGTGACAGTGCGGCACGCTCGGCTGTGGCTCGACTCCATCGAGGATCAAGTCCTCGCGGATGCCAGCCGTGAAGTTCAAACTTCCAAATCTGACCTGACGGCCAGGGGCGTACCTTTCGATCTGCTCCAGATGGCCAAGCGAATTGGCCCGCAGTGCGAAGCCGCCGAACACGAAGATCTGTCCGGGAAGAAAGGTCTCACCCTAGACTGCGTCGTTGATGATTGTCGAAGAAGCCATCGAGCCTATCGGTGACGACACAGAGGAACTCTCAATGAAAGCACCAATGTCGGTGTCAAAACCGGCGGATCTCGGGTAGGGGGTCCCGAACTGTGAGTCTAGGCGGATGGTAATAGGAGACAAGGGACACGATGTTTTACCCAGGTTCGGGCCCTCTTGATGGAGGTAAAACCCTATGTCCTGCTTGATTAATATTGATGATGTGTGTTACAAGAGTGGATCTACCACGAGATCAAGGAGGCTAAACCCTAGAAGCTAGCCTATGGTATGATTGTTGTTCGTCCTAAGGACTAAAGCCATCCGGTTTATATAGACACCGGAGAGGGCTAGGGTTACACAGAGTCGGTTACAATGGTAGGAGATCTACATATCCGTATCGCCAAGCTTGCCTTCCACGCCAAGGAAAGTCCCATCCGGACACGGGACGAAGTCTTCAATCTTCTATCTTCATAGTCTTGGAGTCCGGACGATGATGATAGTTCGGCTATCCGGACACCCCCTAGTCCGGGACTCCCTCAGCGTCCTTCACGGATGTCCTGAACGGACCAGCGGCCGTGGTTGGGGAAGAAGGAGAAGGAGAGGTCGGCGGCGTCGGCGAGCGCGCTGGCGGCTGGCGCGAAGGGGTGAGGCGGGAGGGGATGGTGGAACCCGTTGCGGTCGAAAAAGGCGAGGAGGGGCGGGTCGTGGAGGCGGCGGAAGTGGCGGAGAAAGGATTTGTCGGTGACGAGACGACGGAAGGAGACGCAGGCGGCGGAGGCACGGACTAGGTCTTCCGCGGCGGGCAGCCGGAGGAAGATCTCCGCGACGAGGTGGTCGGGGATCTCCGCCAGAGTCGTCGCCGTTCTCCTCGTACGACTGGAACGGCGTGGCTTGGAGGTCGCCATTGGCGCGGAGGAGTGCAGAAAGGTAGCTGGACGCGGGCGGCGGCGGAAGAAGTGGCCGTCGGCGTCGGAGGAGGCAGCCGCCGGAAACCCTAAGAGATGGGAGCGAGCTGCTGCATACTGGAACTGAGGGAAGAGTGTGCTCTATGCTGCCGAGATGGACCTTTTGTTTTCTGAACTGGGCCGCGATGGGCCTTGCGCTGTCCGAATGTGTAACGGGCCATCTTCGCCGGGGCCGCCCGTCGTGCACGATTGAAAGCTCCCTTGAAAGTTCAAACTGTTTGTGGTGGAATGTTGAAAGTTCAACATGAAACCCCTTTCCTAAAATAAAAAGAAACTTGAAAGCCATCCAGAGTTGCACATCATTTAGATTTGAAACTATCCAAAGTTTTACCATGCAGAATGAAACCATCCGGAATTATGTGCTATATGAAACAGATGGAGCCATTGACTGCTGGTCAACATGATTCACATCCATTTTCCGTTCCGTCTAAAATATCTATCACGACATTTCTTGCATCTACTACTTTGTATGAAACGTATCAGCTTGAACATTTTATTCCATAATTTCAGGAAATTTGAAATGCATTTTCCGGAGATGGGAGCATCTGCTCCTATGAGCCAAAATGGGTTTTCGGGGAAGTGGATGTATCCTTACGCTTGGAACTACGAAAGTGTAATTCAGTGATTCTTCGTTCCAAATACACCAACCCCAACTATCCTTTGCTTTTTATCTAGACGTTCATTCTTCTCTTTTTTATTGTCTGGACTATTTTGCCCAAGCACATAGCTTTTCTGATGTGTGCTTTCAGGCCCAGTCTCGTCAATTCTGGAACGAATCTGTGACAGGCAGTGGAGAAAAAACTTGTGAACAACCATTTTTGGCTTTAGGAGCAGATGCTCTCTCTACCGAAAAGTGCATTTCAAAATGTCAAAAAATTCTGTAGGAAAAAAGTGTGTACATCTCCACAATCTATATGCGCTCCAAAGGTTTGAGGTAAGGTAGTAGCTCCATTAATTTTAATCAGTCAATCTCAGCTGACCAGTAAGAAATAGAAAGGATTACCGGTAAGCTCAGTTGCAAGGCTTTACACGAGAACCACACAATTAAGTCTAAAAGAAGGCAGGCATATTCATATACAAAATTTCAGCTCAGATTGTACACTCGAGAGTTTACAAGGAAAATGGAACAAATTATCAGGGGCTACATAGTATATAGTGTTGCAGAAGCAGAATAGCATCTGTCATAGTGGTAATATTGATCTCAACTGAATTTGAAACATGTAACTGCAAATAATCCGTTTATGCGTTCGGTAGTGTAACTAGAAATGCAAGTTGGAACACAGAGCCAAACGGAGGCATGTAAGCATAAATAAATGAGTCCCAGAAAATTTGGATCATGCAAAAGTGGTACCTTTGTGTTGCAAAACTTTTTATATTACCTAAGTAGTTGAGCAGCAGCGCTTGATCCTCCACACTTTCTCTCCCAATCACCTTTGCCGCCAATCTACCTTGATCGCCCACCTACTGTGCTGCAATATGCTGACGACACCCTAATCATAGCCCATGCCTCACTCGAGGCCGCGACAACCCTCGAAGATATCCTGGATAACTTCGCCCTCGCAACCGGTCTCACCATCAACTTCCACAAAACTACCTTCGTACCCATCAACACCGATGTCGCAACCGGCCATAATATCACACTCACCTTTCGATGTGAACTCTCATCTTTCCCCCAAATCTATCTAGGTTTACCTCTCTCCCACACAAACCTACCCTCCTTCGCCTTTGAACCTATCATTCATCACTTTCTAAAATATCTCTCAGGTTGGGCAGCAAAACTCTTATCACGGGGCGTGAGGCTCACACTCATCTCCTCCACTCTTGATGCCCTAGCCACCCTCTTTATGTCCATCTTTAAGCTCCCCCCCAAAAAATATTAAAAAATTAGACACGATCCATAGGTCCTTTTTCTGGGTTGCTGAAGAAACTTGCTCCGGAGCCAAATGCCTTATAGCTTGGAAAAATGTTTGTAAGCCAAAAAATGTTGGTAGTCTTGGCATAAAAAATTTGGTTCTCCAAAACAACTGCCTCCTCATGAAGTTTGCTTTCAAGCTTCTCCGAAAACTAGACTTGCCATGGGTTAACTGGATCTTCCAACACTACTCTCTCGACTTTGAAAAAAGCCCCACATCCCCTCCTTCCTTTGGAAAATTATCAACTCCCAAATTCACCCCCTTCAACAAATCTCCTTTGTCCTTACAAACAACAGTACATCTACCTTCTTCTAGCTAGACACTTGGCTGCTCCCCACTCTGCTTGCTAACTCTTACCCCCACATTTTCTCCCACTCCACCTCTACTTCAGTCCTGGTATCGCAGGTCATGCATTATGGTTTACTTGCTACCCTACAAAATCACCTAACCAATATTGCTTCTGTCGAGCTTGTTTCTATTTTGTCTTTGTTGCAGGATGTTCATGCCAATGATGCGCTCTTCACTAGGAAGGCCAGAGAATTGATCTTTCATGACAAGATTCAACAAAGCAGCTTTATTTTCACAAGATTCAACATCGATAATAGGAGCAATCCGAGTGCTAAGAAAATCATTGTTGTTAGTATTGGAAAAATCACACAATTTAGTATTATCTTGAGCCATCGTGACAAACAATCCAACACACAAGCACACAAGAGGCAAGCAAAAAAGAGGCGAGTGGGAAAAAGAGGGCGAATAAAATGGTAAGGGTGAAGTGGGGGAGAGGAAAACGAGAGGCAAATGGCAAATAATGTAATGCGAGAGACAAGAGTTTGTGATGGGTACTTGGTATGTCTTGACCCGTGCGTAGACTCCCCGGCAACGGCGCCAGAAATCCTTCTTGCTACCTCTTGGGCATGCGTTGCTTTTCCCTTGAAGTTGAAAGGGTGATGCAGCAAAGTAGCGTAAGTATTTCCCTCAGTTTTTCAGAACCAAGGTATCAATTCAGTAGGAGGCTACACTCAAATCTCTCGTACCTGCACAAACAAATAAGAACCTTGCAACCAACGCGATAAAGGGGTTGTCAATCCCTTCATGGCTACTTGCAAAAGTGAGATCTGATAGAAATAATAAGATAAATATTTTTGGTATTTTTATGATATAGATTGGAAAGTAAAGATTGCAAAATAAAATAGATCAGAAACTTATATGATGGAAAATAGACCCGGGGGCCATAGGTTTCACTAGTGGCTTCTCTCAAGATAGTATAAGTATTACGGTGGGTGAACAAATTACTGTCGAGCAATTGATAGAAAAGTGCATAGTTATAAGAATATCTAGGTGTCGGTGTCAAAACCGGCGGATCTCGGGTAGGGGGTCCCGAACTGTGCGTCTAGGCGGATGGTAACAGGAGACAAGGGACACGATGTTTTACCCAGGTTCGGGCCCTCTTGATGGAGGTAAAACCCTACGTCATGCTTGATTAATATTGATGATGCGTGTTACAAGAGTGGATCTACCACGAGATCAAGGAGGCTAAACCCTAGAAGCTAGCCTATGGTATGACTGTTGTTCGTCCTAAGGACTAAAGCCATCCGGTTTATATAGACACCGGAGAGGGCTAGGGTTACACAGAGTCGGTTACAATGGTAGGAGATCTACATATCCATATCGCCAAGCTTGCCTTCCATGCCAAGGAAAGTCCCATCCGGACATGGGACGAAGTCTTCAATCTTCTATCTTCATAGTCTTGGAGTCCGGCCGATGATGATAGTTCGGCTATCCGGACACCCCCTAGTCCGGGACTCCCTCAGTAGCCCCTGAACCAGGCTTCAACGATGACGAGTCCGGCGCGCATGTTGTCTTCGGCATTGCAAGGCGGGTTCTTCCTCCGAATAATCTATGGAAGATTGTGAATGCCAGGATAGTGTCCGGCTCTGCAAAAATAAATTCCACGCACCACCGTAGAGAGAATAACATTACACAAGTTCAATCTGCTGACGTATTTTGTGGCACGACGTCACACCACTACCAAGCCTTTACTCAAATCGTTTTTACTGTTCCACCTCCGCGCGTTTAGCGGAGCGGTTTCCTTGGCACGTCTTGTCGAAGCAGAGATTGTGTTCCCCTTATTCCGGGATTCCCATCAATACGGACGTGGGTAACCCAACCGCGCCCGTTGCCACGCCTCCTCCATCGAAGGCGGGTTCCAAATGGTCACGGGGACGGCTCTTGGTATTCTCCCTCTTTATAATGAGACCAAGGCCCATTCTTTTCCTTCAATCTTCTATCGAATCCGCCCCTCGCCCCGAGTTCCAACACCCAGGGCTCCATATTTGGGTACCTTTGATCTTCGACAATGTCTGGCCCCGACCTACGAGGCCGGTGGATGCCCTCCTCCATCACGGAAGAGGACGTGCTAAAGCTAAGAGACGCCAGGTACCTAACCTACGAGATTTCGCATAGGCTGCCTGCCCAAGGGCAAGTTATTCCTACTCCCGAGCTTGGTGAGAGCGTCGTGTTCGTGTCTCACCTCCGTCGGGGTTTAGGCTTCCCGACGGATCCCTTCGTGAGGGGGCTCATGTTTTACTATGGGCTGGAATTCCATGACTTGGCTCCGGAGTCTATCCTCCACATCTCATCATTCATTGTCGTCTGCGAAGCCTTCCTCCGCACTACCCCTCACTTCGGCTTGTGGCTCAAAACCTTCGACGTGGAGCCGAAGATGATTGAGGGGCGTCAGGCAGAGTGCGGCGGGGCGGTTATAAGTAAGAGGGCCGATGCTCCATGGCCCGAGGGCTCTTTTCAGGAGGGGCTCGGCTTGTGGCAACATGAGTGGTTCTATATCATCGCTCCCAGGGGCAGCAGGCAGAGGCTGCCGCCCGTCTTCCGCTCGGGCCCTCCACAGCGGCTGACGTCATGGGTCAACAAGGGGTGTGACTGGGGGCTGTCCAAGGACGTTCCCCTATTGCAGGACCGGATTCGAGGCCTCCAAGAAAGGAAGATCAACCTGGCCGTAGTGGTACAGGT